TTTGGTGGCCTCTGTTAAGTAGCCCTATCATTCACGATGACCTCTGGTAAGAGCCCTATCATTCCCCTTGGCCACTGTTAAATAGTGCTATCATTCATGGTGGCCTCTGGTAAGAGCCCTATCATTCATGGTGGCCTCTGGTAAGAGCCCTATCATTCACGTTGGCCTCTAGTATGTAGCCCTATCATTCATGGTAGCCTCTGAAAAGAACCCTATCATTCACGGTGGCCTGTGGTAAGAGCCCTATCATTCACGGTGGCCTCTGGTAAGTAGCCCTGTTATTCACGGTGGCCTGTGGTAAGTAGCCTTATCATTCATGGTGGCCTCTGGTGGGTAGACCTATCGTTCATGGTTGCCTCTGGTGGGTAGACCTATCGTTCATGATGGACTCTTGTCGGTAATCCTGTCATTTATGGTTGCCTCTGGTTGGTAGCCCTATCATTCATGGTGGACTCTTGTCAGTAGCATTATCATTCATGGTTTCCTCTTGTCGGTAGTCCTGTCATTCATGGTGGCCTCTGGTCGGTAGCCCTATCATTCATGGTGGACTCTATTCAGTAGCATTATCATTCATGGTTTCCTCTTGTCGGTAGCCATGTCATTCATGGTGGCCTCTGGTCGGTAGCCGTGTAACTTTCGTCATTTGATTTATAATTTGTCTTTCGAGGTGTCCTATATCATCAGTTAATGTGTCAATCACGACATGAGATGCTTCCTTATGTCTCCCCTTAACATATGTTGTGTCCCTTTGTTGTTTCTTGTCGCCCCTTAACATTTGCCGTCTCCCTTTGTTGTTTCTTGTCTCCCCTTAACATTTGCCGTGTCCTTTTGGTATTTCTTGTCTCCTCTTAACATGTATCGTCTCCTTTTGTTATTTCTTGTCTCCCCTTTACATGTATCGTGTCCATTTGTTATTCCTCGTCTTTCCTTAACTTTTGTCGCATCCCTTTGACATTTCTTGTGTCCCCTTGATCAATTTTTTGCAAACCTGATCAAGTTGGTTCCCGAACGTGTGTGAAAGAGGGCAACTGGATGTTTGATGTGTGCACTTGATATTCATAATGATACATCTCCGCCACTTGATATTCCTAATGATACATCTCCGCCACTTGATATTCCTAATGATACATCTCCGCCACTTGATATTCCTAATGATACATCTCCGCCACTTGATAATCCTAATGATACATCTCCGCCACTTGATAGTCCTAATAATACATCTCCGCCACTTGATAGTCCTAATGATACATCTCACCCACTTGATAGTCCTAATGATACATCTCCGCCACTTGATATTCCTAATGATACATCTCCGCCATTTGATAGTTCTAATGATACATCTCCGCCACTTGATAGTCCTAATGATACATCTCCGCCACTTGATAGTCCTAATGATACATCTCCGCCACTTGATAGTCCTAATGATACATCTCCGCCACTTGATAGTCCTAATGATACATCTCCGCCACTTGATAGTCCTAATGATACATCTCCGCCACTTGATAGTCCTAATGATACATCTCCGCCACTTGATAGTCCTAATGATACATCTCCGCCTCCATCTCCCACACATCATGCATAGTTTAATTTTTTTTTTTTAAATCATCATTCACTAAGTCAGCCGGTTGGAGTAGAAATTTATTAATCAGACCGTATGTCACGAAATTAAACAGACACGAATTATAAATTACATTGTAATCAGTTTCAAAAAAAAAAAAGAAGCAGTTTCCATTTTTAAATAACATTATAAACAGTAAATGAAATGTTGAGTACAAAAGTTGACGAGTTTACTATGTAATAAAAACATGATGTAGCGATATGGGTCATAAAATGAGATGAGTCATACAATAAGATCAACATTGGTTATGTAGATGGCAAACAAACAAAATTATACTCAGGACTGGAACAAGCTTTCAAAAGGAACAGTTGAGGCGACAACACTAGACTCATTTGTGTCTATTGCCTCAAGCCTTCAAACCCCCAGTGTATGATTCCCTGACAAAGTGGCACTGGAAATCAGTGAAATGTCCTCATCAACACCAGGCACAGAAACATTGCAAATCCCCTCTACATGCATAGGAGCCAAAATGATCAATAAATTGATCGTGGGCCCTTAATATATAGAAGAATAAGAAGGGAAATGAGAAAAACAAAGTATGGGATAATCTGAAAAAAAAGAACGCAAACAAAACAACGAACATGTCGTCAAAAAGTTTTCATCAGCGAACAAACAATAGAAAAAAAAAAGAATACAATTTTTAAAAATAGCTCTTGGCTGAAAAGTGGTATCCGAGAGAGTAGCAAGACTATTTTAGACAGAGGGATGGAGAAAGAGGGAGAGAGAGAGAGTGAATGAGAGAGGGAGGGAAAGAGAAGGACTTGGAAAGGAGAGGGTGGAGGGAGGGGAGAGAAAGAGGAAATGGGGGTGAGAGAGATGCCGGGCTACATCAAAACAGCTTAACGACGGTACAACACTGTGGACATAACTCTCATCGTCCAAACTTCTTTTGTCTCAGACTCGTTCCCCTACGTCTAATCCAAGCTCTATTATTGACGAAAATTCAAATTGTTTAATAAAGCGACATTTAGAGGGAGGTAGGGAGAGTGAATGAGAGAGGTGGGAGAGAGAGGGGATATGGATAGAAGGAGACCGTGGAGGAGAGGGAGAGAAAGAAAGGGGAACAGGGGGGGGGAGAGGAAGGGTGGGGTATAGAAAAAGAGAGAGGGAGGGGTAGGAGATAGTCTCAAATGATACTTGCAAGAAGGGTAAGTAGGAAACGTGATTGACGGAGGGCGGTTCAGATTGAGAACCCTCAAGTATGTGTCTCTTTCTCGAACAATCCTTGGGCTGTACAATATTATACAATCATAGAAATTCACTTATGTCATAAAAATGGATTGAAAAAAACGCCTTTCAACAAACACAACTGTTGTAGGAGGCCCCCCCCCCCCCCCCCTCTTTTTGCTGTCACACCCTCTCCTAGTCTCCTATCCTGTACACTTGATCACCGAGTCATGTTCTTCTATCCGATGGGCAAGTAAAAGAAAATAATGCGTTCAAAAAGAAATTTGATGAAAATTTTAGCGTGTGTACTTTAAAAATAAATTTGACGAAATTTCCGTTCGATCAAATTTCCGTTTATCAATTTCCTGTCGACGAAATCTATTTTTTTTTAAATTTCCGGATACGGGCCAAAATTACAATCGGCTCAGGGACGAAACAAGCAAACAAAAACGATGACTAGGCGACGTTATGTTGTTGTTGTTGTTGTTTAGTTGCCATGGTAACTTTTGTTTAAAGCACTGAGTGTAGCCTAAGCACAAATAAAATTTTCTTAGTTTAATTTTAACAAATAATAGATAACTATTTCCAGCATTTCACAAGGCTTGATGAGCATTGCAATGTAATTTCTTACGAATTAACAAGAGGCCTCCAGCATGCTGTCTTTGAGTACCCTAACCCCTGAAATATCCCTTAATATTAGTTATATATTTCCCCTTTTTTTTTAAAAAGAGTGTGCTCTAGTTCAACACTGACTGGAACAAAAAGAAAAGAAAATGGAAAACCAAACGTATCATTTTCCTCCAGACAATGGCACAATGAATTGTTTGACCTACTTTGATAGAAAAAGATTTAAGCAAGAAAACGCATGAATGGAGAAGATTGTGAGAACATTTCCAAAAATATGTTTTTGAAAAAGTGTCGATACGAAAACCATTTACAAATCTTTGACTCAGATCGAGGACAGTAGAATTTATTAACCAAATAACTCAAACCTAAATTTAGACGAAATACTTTTACGTACGGTACCGCATTCCTAAACATGCTTGCATCGTTGCAAACCGTATTTTTTCTGCTATTTCTGGCAACGACTCAAGTCGATTTCTACCTGTGCCAAGGCTTTCTGGTGAAACAGGAGTTCTCAATGTACCAGTGTACCACACCAGTGTCATTGCTTCCTACATGGAGTCATTCTCGCATCAACAAGACAGCCACTGTCCTTTTAGTCGGACATTCTCATAGTACAAATAAATGGAACGAATATAGTCGATTATAAGCGTGAAATATATTGCTAGACATTTATGTTCCCCAAACTACGAAATGTCGAAGCGTCTCCATGTATAGGGTACATTGCGTCATTATGCTGAAGGGCTAAAAACATTACCATAACAAACAATCCTCAAACCGCATAGAAAGTAGTGAGAGGTGTTTTGAAGAGTGATAATGAGGAAGAATATTTTTTTTAAAACCTAAATTATTTAGTTTTTAGCATTTATTGTTTTACAAGAACTATAAAATTCAACCTCATAAATAAAATCGAGTAATGGAGTTATTCTCTAAATTAACGATTCCGAAAAGAGCAATACTTGTTTTTCTGTCCTTCGTGAGTGTTCAGCACTTACTAAGATGTCCCCATGCTTACATTTACTCCCTGACTACAAATTTTAGGTTAAAGTTAAAAGGATCTAGCAGACATAATAGTTTTACATTTGCAGGAAATGGGAACCACTATTCTAGGTCAAACAACGCACAAAGGCTCAAATCTACGCGTCGCTCTACTTCGTTTCTGGCGTGAGCAGTTGAGGTTGGGGTTTGTGTGGAACAAGGTGAATCTGGGCTTCCCGATACACACATAATCTTTGTTGTTGTTTTATTGCGTAACTTTCTCAATGAAGTATCTGCGAAGTTCTGTTATCGGAACAAGGAAGCTGCAGAAACTCACGATGTTTATTTCCAGAGAATTAATTTGGGGGAGTCTCACACATAATTATCAGTGAAGTAAGTAAAACACTTGAAATAAAAGACATTAATAACGTTTCACCAAAGAAAACAAATGTGAACCCTTTTTATTTCAATAGTTTGTATTTCTGTTTGATTTAAGGTTGGCGGAGGTAACCGAAATAATGGCGTTGGTCAAAGGAGACGAAAAGTCTGTGAAGCAGAATTGAAATATGTTTAAACAATTTATGTTTAAAACAGAAGTCATTTTTATATCATATTGTACCTACTTGATCGATTTCGTTGAATCATTTGTTGGATTACGGCATTCATTTTCAATTTGTATTTTTAAACTGTTAATGTTTCTTACGCTACTGTTTTAGTGCATTTTCGCTGTGATGCCCTGGCGTAGTGTTTATCATTTATCAAAGTGTTGCCCATGCAGCAGGGCCGGCGCTAGGGGGTGGCGAACAGGGCTACCACCAATGGTTCCGCGAAGCCCTTATAATTTGAGCCATGCCGTGCCTTCTCATAGTTCGTAATTTCCAGGCTTTATATATATTTGAGTACACTATAGAGCCCCCTTAAAAGCTTTTAGCGTAGTTAGCTTTGTGGTTTTCAGACTTATTTTTTGGCAAGCATGATATGAGATTAGCAAAAACCGTGAGATTAGCAACAACCATGGGATTAGCAACGTCCATGTGATTAGCAAAAACCGTGAGATTAGCAACAACCATGAGATTAGCAAAAACCAAGCCACAATGTGTAATTCGGCTATAACAGGGTTGTTTTTTTGCTGTTTTTTAAGATCCATTATAACAATGATGTGTCCCATTATACCCAGTAAGATCCATTATAACAATGATGTGTCCCAAGTCCCATTATACCCAGTAAGATCCATTATAACAATGATGTGTCCCATTATACCCAGTAAGATCCATTATAACAATGATGTGTCCCATTATACCCAGTAAGATCCATTATAACAATGATGTGTCCCATTATACCCAGTAAGGTCTCAAGTATGACCAATGACGTGTCCCATTATACCCAGTAAGATCCATTATAACAATGATGTGTCCCATTATAGCCAGTAAGGTCTCAAGTATGACCAATGACGTGTCCCATTATACCCAGTAAGATCCATTATAACAATGATGTGTCCCATTATAGCCAGTAAGGTCTCAAGTATGACCTATGACGTGTCCCATTATAGCCAGTAAGGTCTCAAGTACGACCAATGACGTGTCCCATTATAGCCAGTAAGGTCCAGTATAACCATTACGTGTCTTTATGTCAGATCATCCCGGGTGTATAATGTCAAAGGCCCCGCAAAATTTAACTTGCCCAAGTCCCGGCAATCCCCCTGGCGCCGGCCCTGCAAGCAGCGGATATCCAGCTTTTCCTTCTCTCTGACCAACCAACCGTCCGAGCTTTAAGAGCCTTCTTCAACAGACGAGCTTCGCTTTTGTTTTGCCCTACTTCCTGGTATCGAACTGAAGCCCACGAGTATGTATGTCACGCCCTGGTGTCCACACACCTTACCACACAGCCAAGTTCTTTCAAAGCAGGTAACATTCTGATGGCTCATCTCGATGTCGGTAAACGGGCAGGTACATCTGAGTCGATCTTTACACAAGTGACTGGTGCTTTGATTCCGTCACCTTCCTTGCCGCTTGTTTGATTTTAATTCATATATTTACATGGATTGTTTTAATCGCTTTGTACACTTTTGTAAACTTTTGTAACTGTTTATCACGACCCAAGCTGGTAAAGTGGGCATGGCATTGGATGTCCTTTTTTTAGTGTGTTTAAAATCTCTTCTTTGTTTTACATGCACTGTAGTGGGACGCAGTGATAAAATAAAGTTGCTGCGATATAGTCTTGTTCAAGAATTTAATTTGAAGTAGAAACCGGACAAATGTAAGCCATACATATTTATCGGTCGCTGAGTATACATAGGCATATAATAGAAGAAGTAATATATATATATATATTTATGTATACAAAAGTATACGGGATTGAAAAGGCAGATTTAAGTAAAACAAACAATTAAATAAGCATATGAAAACTTCATAAAAATAACGTTTTAAAAGAGTATTACTTCTGCCGACGTGAAGACTTCACAGCGCAGAGCTACTCCCACCATCGTTCCGTCAAGGTCACATCTACCTCAGCCCAATCTGTCGAGCTATTTATATTCAACAGCACGCAGACTAACTGCTGTGCATTTTTGGAGAGCTGTACCGGCGTTTAGGAAATTACTCATCGCCTGCCTCGATGTCGAGAGATTGGAACTGATGTCATGCGGTGACCTTAATCGTGATACTTTTTTGCGTCAGCAGGTTATATAACAGTGGTTCTTAACTTGGGTTCGATCGAACCCCATGGGTTCGGGTGAGTCAGTCTCAGGGGTTCGGGGGAGGTCCAAAAAAAATCAGGAAAAAAAAAAATGTGTTCCTATTAAGAAGGGTTCGGTGAATGCGCATATGAAACTGGTGGGGTTCGGTACCTCCAAAAAGGTTAAGAACCACTGCCCTATGGCCTACTATTCAAGTAATGTTATGAAAAGCATTATGGCCTAAGTGGGCCAATGAATTTTTACCAGTTTCTTTCGGGTAATTTTCCGCGGGGAGTGGGGGTAGTATTTCAGGCGTTCTGGGGCGTGGGGCGGGGCATTTATTAGCACCGAAATTGGGAATTTTTATGCCCAGGGCCAGCTCTGACTTCGTCGTCACCGCCATACTTAACCATAAATCCATTCATGGTAGTGAAGCCCCCTGCGGGTATACTTTTAGCCCCAGCTCATTTTCGTCCCTAGAATCTTTATACTCCAACTACGTATACCAAACTAAAGGAACATCATTATCGTGTCCTTTCGAAGGCGTAATATCGTGGGTTAAAATTGGGAGATGTGCTATCCACTGATTTTTAAATCAAATTAATTACCAAAGTCGTTCACTATTCATTAACAATATATATATAGCATGATGCCTCTAAAGGAGAGAGTCTCCTAGAAGCGAGGGGCCCCCTAGAAACGTGAGGCCCTGTGCCAGTGCCCGGTGGGTCCATGCCTTAAGATCGCACTGGGGAAGAGGGGTGGAGGGGCGTGTGCGGTAGATCTGAGGCTGTCGTCAAGGTAAATCCAGTACGCACAGGTGTCTATAACTTGTTAAAAGGTGCTACAAATCAGAGTTCAGCAACATTTGTTTCACTCGCGGAAAGCCTAGTGGCGTAGGCAAGGGTTCGGAGTGGGCGGTCCGCACTGGGCGGCATTTTTTTTTTCTTATATTGAGGGGCAACATTTTAGGCCGACTGGAGAGTTTTTTCGTGGCACTAAACCTGATTACTCCACTTGGCACACCCACTCCGCTGGGCACACCCACTCCACCGGGAACATCCGCTCCACCGGGCACACCCACTCCACCGGGCACACACACTCCGCTTGGGCACACCCACTTCACTGGGCACACCCACTTCACTGGCCACACCCACTTCACTGGACACACCCACTCCACTGGGCACACCCACTCCGCTGGGCACACCCACTCCCCTGCGCACACCCACTCCACAGGGCACACCCACTTCACTGGGCACACCCACTTCACTGGGCACACCCACTTCACTGGACACACCCACTCCACTGGGCACACCCACTCCGCTGGGCACACCCACTCCGCTGGGCACACCCACTCCACTGGGCACACCCACTCCACTGGGCACACCCACTCCACAGGGCACACCCACTCCATAGAGAACACCCAAGTCCTTTCCGAGAATTTTGAGGCACACTGAAAGTAAAAACAAATTTCCATTCGATCAAATTACCGTCGATCAATTTACCATCGTCGAAATTTCTTTCGATTAAATTTCTGGTGACCGCTTTTATTTTATGCTTTCCTTCACCGGGGGGGGGGGGATTTTGCGCGGCACACTGGTTGCGGGGCTCTGATATAAATTACACGCATGTCCGGATTTATTTAAAAATAAATCGTTAAACCGAATTTTAAAAAAAAAAATATATTTATGCATTTGACAAAAACTGTCGAAAAACAAATGAAAATGTTTTTAAATTGTTTAAAATTTTAAACTAGAAATAAAATTAAGCCAAAACAGACAAATGACGAACTGGATTTATGGCTTCAAAGTCATTCACGTCTGTGATGACATTTTCAATTCAAACTTTTTTGTTATCAGAGGCTATGAGAGTCTATTGGTATTTTTCATCAACACCATCATTTTGACTCCAGTGTGCAACATGCTAATGGTGTTTATTTTAACCCAATAGAGACAGTATATTTATCCGAAAATGTATGACGTCGTTGTTATGAACTCACCCTTACCAGTTAGAGGCTATACCATGAGGTCACTGCTGACTATGAGTAATGTAATAAACAAATGCCGAGCACAGAACCACAAGTCACGCGAATGCGATGGTGGGAATGGAGATGCAAGAGGCATGAGGGGGGCGCAATGTTCACATGGTTTGTAAGGAAATGCCGTTAGCAGAGGAGACGCAGTGTTTGAGATTGTAATGAAATGGGTTAAGTAAGGACGCAACCAAACTTGACATGCGAAAAAGGTTGTTTTTAGAATCAAAGCCTAATGACCGTTGAACTGTCATTTTTCCAGTCATATTATTGATCAACATAATTATAATTGTGTTGCTAACATTACAACTTCACAATGTATTTTATACATTTTTTTATGACGTGGTAGGATAATGGTTCCCACAATGATACAATTATAGCAATGTCTTTTTGCTATAGATTCCACATGAATTAACCCCAACAATGTCCATTGAGCAATGAATAAGCTAATCGCCAAGTTACGTGAAGAAACGACTAAATTATTATTATTATTATTGTTGGTGGTGGTGGTTTTATATAGCGCGATACCCCAGCCTAGGGCTTGGCTCACCACGCTGTACATACAATTTAACAAACGTAATCATGAACTTAAAAATTAAGCATAAATTGATTAAATAAACAAAAAAAAAATGTATATTCACTCCACACATTCAAGAACTATTTACATGTATAGCCATGGACGGCTACCCAGCAGCATCGTTTAAGCGATTTGGGGGGGGGGGGGNGGGGGGGGGGGGGGGGGGGGTATCAGTCAGGATAGTAACGTTTAAAGAGATGTGTTTTGAGTGCAGTTTTGAAGGCTGTGCTTTCATTATGGCCAGTGTTCGATTTATTCTTAATAAACATTTTAAACCAGACACTCAAAAATGGATCCTTATCATATATTTTACTTTAGGAAAACCTCACAATGGGCAACTAGTCCTCCTAACTGATGAGAGTCAGATACACCCTCATCGAACAAAGGTAATATACTTGTTCGGGTCATAGATTTCACAAGCTTCGTGACACCCCCCCCCACCCTCCACCCCCAAAAAAAACCGAGAAAGATGATTAAGGCTGAAACCAAACCAAGCGAAGACCGCTGGGGGAAACAAATGCACCAAAAACTGAAACTAAAATAGTTTTAATGCCTATATATGTAAAAACATTTTTACGATACAACTCAGTATTTCATTAGTTCTATTTGGCCACCAGTTCATTTACCGCATTTCTTCTTTCCTTGGCAAGCGTAAATACTCTCTGACATGCAGTGAAGTAGTTACATATCCTTCTTCCCACAATAGAGTTTACATGTATCACACAACTTACATATCCCTCTTCCTACACCAGTGCTTACATGTATCAGACAGCTTACATATCCCTCTTCATACACCAGTGCTTACATGTATCAGACAGCTTACATATCCCTCTTCCTACACCAGTGCTTACATGTATCACACACGCACTTGAGCGTAGCTAGGGAAAGCGCCACTCAGGATGGGCCAAGATTTTTTTCCGCCTCACTACCACGAAAAACCTCTGTAGTTGGAGGAAAATGGCGTCCCTTCAAGTAAAGAAAAGAAAGGGCCGCCCACACGTGCCACCTCCTCCGAGTTTCGACTGCGCAGGGGCCGCTACTGGTCTTAGCCCGGCGCTGCTGGCAACGTTCTTAAAGGCTGCAGAAAAATAACTATATGTTAAGCAGATAGTGCCTCTAAGTATTTTGTTTTTAATTGATTTAGAATTGTCCATGTTATAATTATTTTGAGCAATTGCCCCCCATGTCATGGTAAGATTTTCATATCTTCCTTTGTTGCAGGCATTTCAACATTCAGTATTAAAAAAAACAAAACAACTATTGGAACAGAAGCCGTGTTAAACACCTGCTGTTGAAGCCAAACCGGTTAAAATGACAAGCTCTGAAATGTCTCTGGGATCTGAACACGTGCAGAGACTGCTCCAGTGCGCCGTGTGCCTAGAGAGATTCAAACAGCCTAAGATCCTCCCGTGTCAGCACACTTTTTGCCTGACCCCGTGCTTGGAAGGACTGGTCGACAGGAGAACACGATCCATTCGATGCCCAGAATGCCGTGCCGACCATTTTGTTCCCCGGAACGGCGTCACCAGCTTCCCCAACAACCTTACCGTCATCGGGTTTCTCGAGCTGTCAGGTTCTTCTGGCAGAGCCTTGGAAAACATGTCGAGAAGTGAGGCCGGGGAAGTTCTGCAGACATCACGCATTCGAGAGTTGCTGCAGCCTCAGAGAGCTTCAAGTCCGCAGCAGATTCCCCAAGACGCAGCGGGCGCCGAAGGACCAGGCTGTGCAGTATGTCGTAATGAGGGACGGATCACACGGTGCTGTCATTGTGATCAACTGGTCTGCGAAATATGCCGTCGTGGTCACATGCAACAGGTAGAATACTTCTTTTGTTAGTTTTAGCGTTGCCGGGTCGATCTAACTGATGTACAAATAAAATAATCTGATATATATTTTTTTAACGAGGATCACCTATAGCCTAGCGGGAACAAAAATTATTATTTCGATTCACGAATTCCCATGTAACGTTCATCAGTTATAAACATCTTAAGTTATATCAAATAAAGTTCACATTAAAATTAGGGATTGGGCTTATTATTTTCCTTTCATAATCGCTTTTAACAGTATGCCATAATTATAATGTTATCTCAACAGGTCAGAGCTGATGTAACAAGAATGATCAGCCAAGTTCGACGTGGCATGCCCCATATTTCAGAACAGATTATCGCTATAGGCAGAAAGGGCAGCCAACTGCAAAGCAACTGTGAAAGTGTGAAAGTAGAAATCACGGAAGCTCTAGAGAAACATATAAGAGAATTAAAGATAAGAGAAAGAACTTTAAGAGAAGACGTAGACACATTTTTGGCCGGCGAGCTCCGGAATTTAAGGACACACCAGGAAAATGCCGAAGTAGAGATCGCCAGCCTTACTAGTTTCTGTGACACGGCTGAATCTTTCCTAAGCACGGGGCGTCCCGTACCAGAAGGGGATTTAGTTGAGATGAGAGGCCAGTGCTTTGAACACCTTGAGAATGTTCAGTGTTACGAGGACGGCACTATTAGACCTCCAAATGTCAAGCAAATTCAAGCATCTCTGGAAAGCCCGTTTCTATCATCCACAATCAGCAACTTTGGAGATCTTGTCATCACGACAAGGGCGAACCAAACACAAAGGCACACGTCTGTAGATGAAAGACTTGAACCCGTACACAGATCACTGACGTCTTTACTACCCCAGGGCAACGTGAGTGCGAGCAGACTCAGCGATGCTTATCAAGGGGAGGTCAGGGCATTGTCCGTGTCCCCTAGATCAACATTTTTATCTACTCTCATGGACAGCAGTGCATTGGACGAGAGCTCACAGACAGACCCAAGGACATTAGCTAGTTCCCCTGGAGTTTCGCAAAGGCAATTATCTTCACCCAATCGAACTTCTCAGGTAAAAATTCAAATTTTTATATTTCTTAATTTTCGTTAACTACTTTTATCTTTTTTAAAAACTACAAGTAAATCATTTTAATAATTTGAATATGTGTAATGAGTGTCTACCTTGGATTTTAAAAAAACACAAAAAACCAAGAGTGTAGTTGAAAATAAGGTGAAATTGCTAAAAGACTTTTGTTTTAATAGGTCCGGTTTGAGGAAGAAGAACCTCCAGCTGACAACTCAAGATGGAACCTTGCGCTCCAGCCAACACACCCCCACAGAAGAAGTAGGTACGAGAGAAGGTCGGACACAAGAATCACATCCACTCCTGGCGGAAGGCTTCAGACCCTTTCTCAGATGCGTGATCGAACTCGCCACCTTAGCCTCGGGGCTCTACCAGCCACCAATGAATATTCTGAAGAAAATACACCAGAGAGGGATACTGAAGGTCCGGTCGGTAGATCGTTTAACAGACCCGCAACGAATGAGGATAGAGAGGAGGTTTCTCCCGGTGGCGATCTCTCTGTCACATTTCCAGGAGCACGCTCTTACAATTTCCTTCCCTCGACGCTGCGCTACAACGCCTCGGCCGCAGATGCTGGCGACAGCCAAAGTGATCCAGTTTCCGGTTTCAACAGCAACAGCCCCAGTATATATGTGAATACACCACGAAACAAGTACAACCAAAAGGGTACGGCGGTGGTGAGGTTTGGACAGAGGGGAAATGAACCTGCTAGTTTCACCTGGCCCAGGGGTGTGTCCGTGTCTCCTTTAGACGACAACATTTATGTCTCTGACAGCAGCAACCACAGAGTCCAGGTGTTTGACAACTCTGGAAAGTTCTTGAAGACATTCGGGCAGTACGGTCAGAGCGAGGGCGAATTTGACTGCCTTGCGGGTGTAGCAATAAATGGATTGGGCCAGGTGATCATTGCAGACAGGTACAACCACAGGGTCCAGGTATTTGATAGAAATGGTCGATTTCAGAGTGCCTTTGGATGCGAAGGATCCGGAGAAGGCCAGCTCAACTACCCATGGGGTGTGGCGTGCGATAACATGGGCTTTATATACGTCTGCGACAAAGAAAACCACCGCATTCAAGTCTTCCAGTCCAACGGAAATTTCGTAAGGATGTTTGGACACTTTGGGAGTCGTCCGGGTCAGTTTGAAAATCCCCATTACATTGCTGTGAGTCCTGACAATAAGGTCTACATCAGTGACAGCAGTAATCACAGAATACAAGTTTTCAGCATGTATGGAGATTTCCTTTTCGCCTTCGGCAGCTGTGGGGTTCTCAGGGGACAAATGAAATTCCCAAGAGGAATAGCCATTGACAATCAAGGATTTGTTGTAGTAGCTGACAGTGGCAACAATAGGATCCAAATATTTCGAGCTGACGGCAGATTCTACTCCATGTTTGGCAGCTGGGGTAATGAAAACGGACAGTTCAAAGGGCTGGAGGGTCTTACCATCCTGGCCAATGGGAATGTTGTGGTTAGTGACCGAGAAAATCATCGCATTCAAATTTTTTAACGTTGAAACGTTCACAGTAGCACTGACCATGTTTCTGTTGTGCGGTGTTATAAATACTGTATTAAAATGTGTACCGCCCATCCCAGTTTGCATATAGTTCATTCCTAAGGTGATGTGTAAACCAGTTATAGAGTGATTATTACATTGCTGTAAGTTGTACAGAAACTGAATTTTTAATTGAAAATTGTGAAGTTTATTTTGTTAAGATTAGGGTTGAGTCACAGAGTATTACAGAAACTAAAGCCAAACAATGCATTTTAAGGATGTCACAAGCAAACATCATTTCATGACTAAATGATTCCTGATACTTAAGCTGTCTCATGTTTCCTGATCTTTGTGTTCCAAAACATATAATTAAAATATTTGTTGAAATTTCATTAATACAATGATACAGTAATGATGCAGCTTTAAAGTTTAAAGTGTTACTTTAAAAATATCATGATGTCTTCTTTACATCTTTCCAAATTTATCATTGACTCTTGAATGTGCAAAAATTGGTGTGATACCTAAAAATTTGTGTTAATTATATTTTGTAACTCTGTTTTTTTTCTGTGTGATAAATACTTTTTCCACTATAGTGATGTGACATTGGCAGGCACACTAGTAAGTGATGGAATAGATAAAATTGTACTGAAGCATCGTGTAGAGTGATTTGTTTAATGGAGTGTTGTAAAGAATAAAAATGTTTAAAACTATTTTTAAAATAACCTTTGTTTATCTTTTATGTTTATGTCTGACCACAGCCCCCTTGTAGTTAGAAACATGTTTTAAGTCTCAACTTTACAGAAATCAAATTAATTGTTGTTAGGAAGCTTACACTTGTTTAAAAGCAGCAGAAGATTTTTCTAAAAAATATTCTCAAAATTACTTTTTCATTTTTAATCCATGAATAGACGGAACATGGATTGTGTCATCACACATCTCGGTCAGTAAATACTATATGAAAAATAGAAAATAAATGATTTAAGTATCAACATTTTTTATTATCACTACACTTTTCAATTATCTTTGAGTAGGTGTGAATTACAAGCTAATTTCAGTTTAAATGTCTATGTAAGTTAGTTTTGATTCAAAGAGATCTTAACACATTTTCTCAAAAATTTCATTAACCTTATTATACATATTTCTTGGCTCAAGTGACATTAATACTTCAACATGTATGTAATCTTGCATTAAAATATTCAACTATTGTAAAAATTGCTTGGTTTAAAAATTCAACAATGATGTTAATAAACTCTGATCACAGAAATCAAATTACTCTTTTTAGATGTGGCGAGTATTTTCAAACTGAGTATTAAAATGCATATTTAAAATAATTTAAATGCAGTCTCTACTGTACGGAAACAATAAAAGAACAATATTTTTTAAAGTTTTAAACTTTAACCAATAAATTTTGAGAATTTTAATTTTCATGTCATTGCTCTCTTATACATTTTCATAACTTTTAGAGTAACCCTAGCTTTGTTTGAGAGAAATCATTTCTTGTGTGCATGACCATAAAATATTAATCACACTACATTATATGATGCTCACCAATTGAAAAACACTAGTTTCCAATGGGACACAAACATTTGACTTGGGTAAGAAAGTGTTAATGATAATTAGTGTAAGATCAAATAAAACAAAATGTGATTTTGGGGAGGGTGGATGAAGCCCAAAATGCATACAAATTAACATCTGGACACAAGTATTGAAGGTCACACAAATATTTCAGATTTTTTAGGGGGTTTTGGGATGGCATATCAAAACATTTTGATAAAGCAAAATATTCATATTCTACATACATTCTAGGAAAATAAGAGCAGTGTTGTCAAAATCCACCACATCAATATAAAGTAGAGCTTCTTTTATGCCATTTTAAAATAATTCAAGGACAAATTATGCTTCACAATTGGAAAGCAAACACACTAGAAGGAAATATTTTTAATATTTTTTTTTTACTAATAGCTGTAAAAAGTCTACATTTCAAACATAGAGCTGATTGTCTAAATATATATCTACAATGTCAACAATATAAAAAAATTGCACATAGTATGACTCTAATAGTGTGTGGAGCTAAATTGTGAATAAAAAAAGTTATTCAAACAAGTAAAGGTATTGCTGCATGATATTATGCAACATTGGAGCTCAGCAAGCAGATATATTTGATCCCTTTTGGATACAAAACATGTGAAACAATATTGGTAATGACTGGAAACAATGAGTATTTGTCAGTAGGTAATAGCTTTGTATATATTTAAAAACAGAATTTTAAATAATATAATTAAGTGCTGTCTAATTTGAAATTATCCCAAAAGTCTCATTTTATATTTTTAGACAGTGGGGAGGCCCACATAATAATAAGGGCGTACACTTAAGGATAAAAATTATTTCTTTAGTTGATACTCTTGAGCAGAAAAAAAATCTATTCCATTTTATTAATTTTGTAGCACTGTAATACAAACTGCCAAAATAATATCATTGCAGGCTTCTCAAATACCTAAATTAATATTACAAAAACAATGGCTCTTTTTGAATTGGACTTGTTTTAAATGTGTGTGGAAAATGCCTTATTTCATTATTTTAAATTCAAGTTTAATAAACAATTTTTTTCAAGGTTATTTTTTTAAAATTTGAAGCAAAAAAATTAATTCACTGGCCACAACAGCAATATTTGGAGTGGAGAGTACATAAAAAAATGCAGTATAGTACAATATTATAAAATGAAAAATAACTCATAAACTAAAATCTCTGCAATGCATACTATAGTATATATCAGAGTAACAAACATGGCTACAAAATCCAATAATTATTTACAATTCGATATCTAGAAGACTATTATATAAATGGCTTGACCACATAACAAACAACTTTCAAATGGTGCTTCAACTAAAAAAAAATTTCTTCAGATTAATAATATGAACATTTTTTATGATATGTTTCTCTGGAATGAAAGTCATTTTTTAATAACATCACACTATTAAACATAGAATACCATTAGAATTACCAGTTTCAATTTAGTACAAGTTGGACCTCTGTTTAGAAGGAACTACTTTTATTTCAATATAATCATTTTGAAAATATATTCATTTTAATTAAATTTTAGATATTTATCCCCTTGTCATGCTGATTAAATGTTAGTTTTTTTTTAAATTTAAAAGAAGACTAACTAGAAGTATCAATATAAATTTTAAACTAGCTCTATTATGATAATTTCATTGCCAATAAAGATCTTAACAGCATGCTTTATTTTTAATCTTATTTATTATTTCTAACAACAAAGTTAAGCTGCTATATCATTTCTTTAAAAAAAAAGCACTTTAACAGCATAAATATTTAAAATTCAATATTTAAAACATTGCACAGCCAAAGTTAATAGAATTTTTAAAAAACAAAATTCAGTCAGGTTGCTTTAAAAAAAGCAACTTCATTTTTGATTAACTGATTAAAAATTATGAGCTTCTGTTGTAAAAAAAATAAAGCAAAAAGACACATTTACTACACAAAAAATTTAAACAAATTTCAAGTAGCAAAAAAATTAATTTAAATATACTCTTGATTACCTTAAGTGTTTTTATTTCAGCTATAATTACAATTTGTTCCATATCTTGCCCAGTTAATGTTAATTATTTATTTTATCAAAATATTAAATACATTAAAAATATTTACCTTTAATATGACAGTTAAGTATTTTTAATAGCTCCATGACAAAAAAATAATTAACAGTTTGGAATGCTAAATATAAAGATACTGAAATAGATTTAAATGTGCTGCCTAATAATGGTCTCATAAAAAGTGAAGGTGATAATTCAAAAAGAGTTTTAAACATCACCAAAAAAAAGCAAAAACATGTTTACCCACAAAACTGGATAATGAAAGATTCAAGATGTAATACTGACGTCTACTATGAGATCTTTTTATTTTAATTGATTTAGGACTGAAAGTCATAATTTAACAAAACCATATTGGTGTAATCATTTTAATTTTTAAAAATGTACAAGACTTTGAAGAATAATACCTGGCAGATTAAATTGCAGAAAATAGAATAAAAATGTCTATAACTATTTAATGAATGTATAGAATTATTTTTAAAATGCATGAGAGAGTGATCAGATTTTTATCCATGTTTATTTCCTTATATGTTAACAGTGCCGTGTTGTTGTCTTTAAATTGCACATTTGTATTTTTCTTGCAATAAAAAATTTGTATTTTCAACAATAAAAACTGCTAAGTTTGTTTTATGGGTTTGTGGTTACCTGCTATGCAATTATCAAAGAGCAACTTTGATCTTATTTTTTTGGACAATTGAAAACATACTAGCAAGCTGTAATCCATCTTGAATGAAGTTTTTCAAATAATTTATATAGCGAAGTGGAATAAATAACATTGTACTTTTATCAAAGCCCTGAGTTACACAGGTCAGTAATTACAAGGTCATAAAAATTTTAGAGTTATGGCACCTTTAAACATATTTGTTTCATTAATGACCTACATGCTCATATAAAATGTAATGACATGACAGATCAAATTAAAAGGCATCATTATTATCTTTGAAGGTGAAATTTAAAAAATATTCTGAGGTTTTAAATAAACTTAAATCCAGAAACAATGAAATCTCTGAGGTTTAGTGCTTGTGGAGAAAGTTGCTAAGACATGGGGTGTAAGGTAAAGGCTTGAAGATAAAACATTTTTAAAATAAGAAAGCAAAAGGCATAGTTACTTTACATTTAAAATTCATCAACTTTAAGAAATCAATAATAAATGGAAATAATTGTGACACTGTAGTCAGGACTCGAACTGATTTTAAGGGTTATTATTAAAGTGGACATTATGCAAATTCATCCTACTTTTTTATAATTGCATTAAATCACAAAACCTATGAATAAAAAGATAAAGATATTTATTCACCACAAAGTAATAATAAGATAAGAAAAATATTATGCAATGACTAATCAATGATACAAGTATTTCTAGAGACTATAAATCTTGTTAAAAGGCTTTGTTATTACATTTTATCTTCTCCCTCAACCATCCAAAACTATCCATATTGCTGCAAACATGTTCTTTAGGACAATTTTAAAATAACTGATTTTAAATTAATTAAGAGACAGTATTTTGCATAAGTTTAAAAAGTCCAATTATAAAAATGTGTAAACATATAACATAAGCAGGTTAGGGCACAAAATAAAGTAATAAAACATCAGAAATAATATATATCACTATCAAACAAAGTGAAATAAAGACACAAAATATGAGAAGTTAATAGATCTAAACATTTTTAAGGGAATGAAGTAAATACTTGTACAATTCTGGGCCTTGAGGCAAACTTCTATATTTTTTTTAAATTATTTTTTTAGGGGGGGTTGAGGGAGTGGTCAGTTGTGTTAGGAGTCTTGAAGGCCCTAAATTTTAGGGTGAATGAGGTCATTGGCCATACATGTCATTTAACATAACAAAGCTAAATAAATTTGATGGAGGACACTGGTTGACAACTAGGCCATATCCAGGGAACAGAAATGTTTGTCAAGAAGCAGGAGGAAACACTGCCGAATTATAATTCTGTGATTTCACATAGGCTCCATTTTAGGGCATTTAAATTTTATATTTAAAAAACATCAAATCTGTTCTAAGTTCAAAGGCTGTATAAATATGCAGCAGACCAGATTTGGCATGGGACCATAGTTACCCAGCTCTTGGTGTTAATAATTTCTTAGTTTTATATCATAAGAAAAAGATTTTAAAAATAAAAATTTACAGTTGATATTTTTGTTATATTTTTAATTGATTGGCATTTATAAAATATTTGTGAGCAATTTTTTTAGGAGTTAAATATTTTTAAGGTTTTTCCTTTTCTTATAAATATTAGGTGAGTAATTTTATATTAAAAATCAAGTTTTTTTGTAAAAAGGAAAATTTGGAAATAATTTTATGTGAGTTATATAATATTAAAATTTTCTGAATATAATGAATTTTTTTTTATTAAAATGACAATGATCTTCTCAATAATACTTTTATTTTTTATGTTTTTTTAATCATAATTCATTTGTGAAAGAAATATTAAAGAGCTACAATAAATTTTGGAACTATATCACCTTTTTTCTATAGTTAAATAATAATTCCAACAAAATGATGGTGAACCCGATTCTTGGAATTTATAGGTAGCAGAATTTTAACATTCATTTAAAAAGTATACATACATTACAAAAATACAATGCTGTGGACTCTAAGACCCTTAAGATATATACCCAAATACTAAAAGATATTTTGGCGTGGATCATCTCTCTAGGATTCAGATATGTTATACATTTTTTAATAAATTCTTTTTTATTACTATAAAGGATTGTGTTCCAATAAATTATTCTTAATTATCAATACACAATTTAACATGACACGTTTATTTAGTATTCACTGAGGTGGTGTAAATAATTGAAATTTTGCTCTCCATGCAAAATTGATCCCATAAGAGTTTCAGTAATTTCAATAAAGAGTTAATACTTAAAAATAAAAGGGCCTTTACAACTTTACAATCTAGTTCTATTTATAGACAATCTTTTTTATTAATAGTAGAATGTGACAAATGGTATGTCAACAACATTTTCTTATTGTTTGAGAATGAACAGCAATTACCTCTTTTTAAACAACTGCTGAAATTTTAAATTATATCATGATCTATAAGCTATACGAGAAAATAAAATCACAATGACTATAGAAATCCAAACCTCCCTCTCTTGGTGATTAGATTTCCAACCACTGTCCATTCTTTTGTGTGCTTGTTGTATTTCATGATCATTCCTTGTAAAGTCTTTCCATCATGTCCTCCAGAAATATACAACATGTCCCCATGAACAGTGAAACCCATTCCTCGACGAGGTCCTAACATCGGCTCGATGTTTGTCCAGAGATTTGAAGCAGGGTCAAAACATTCCACTGAGCTCAAGCTGCACAAAATAAAAACAAGTTGATCAACAAAACAAAAATGAAATCAAGCGATTTGTATTGGGGACATTTTTAAAGCAACATTTAATAATAAAACAAATTAATATTTTAACCAATATCTAAAACAAATATTTAACAATCTAAAAAGGAATCTATTGAACTAGGAAGTGAAAATTTTTTTCAATAAACCTTTAAACATAATCTGATTATAACTTCATTATGCTAAAAACCAAATGTTAAAATAGCTTAATGTAATGTTGCTCTGATAAAAAATTTGATTTAATAAAGAAACAGGGAAAAATTAGTCGTTTTTCACTTTCTACCATCTAGGTTCCTTCCGAGTGTTTTACACAGCAGTAAATGATTGCAAAATTAGGGTCACCAACCATTGGTCCTGATGACAACCTCCAGCAACATAAACTTTTCCATCAAGAGCAGCAGCCCCTAACATCGACCTGGGTTCTATCATGCTAGCACAGACTGACCACTGGTGATTCTATAATAATAAGAGTTAAAGAAAACTAATACACCTTGTTTGAAGCTTTAAGATTTAAAAATTAAGTTACTTCACAACTTTAAAAAGAAAGAATCATTCTTAGTTGAACAAAATGTATCATTAAAATTAACATCACCAGCTACTCTGTGGCTTTGTGAAATACCTTAGTATCAAATACTTGACAAGACTTAAGATCCTCCACACCATTATAACCACCACACAGGTAGAGACGAAATTCAACAACAGCGGCAGCCGCCATACTGCGAGGCTCTAGCATTTCTGTGGGAGATTTAACTAGATCAATTTTAAAGCCTGTTATACCTATAATTATTTTTAATTTTTATTTTCTTAGTTAGAATAATTTGGTTTAGAAGAATCTTTTGATGATCTTAACACTGCCAGTTCTTCTTAAAAATACAATTTAGATAGGTTTTTAAAAGTTATTTATTTAACCATTTAATTGATGACATTTTCACACAATAAGCAATTAATGAAGAGCTTACCACTAAGTGACCATGAATTAAGCTCAATGTCATACTTTTCAAAAGAAGACAGGACATTTTGACTCCCATGTCCACCTAAAGCATATATTCCACCGCCAACCACAGCGGCTACAACACTACTTCTAGCCACACTGAGTTGGCCACGACTTAGCCACTGCTGTTTGTCAATGTCAAATGCATGAACTGATCTTGAACTTTCTGTAGCAGTGGCACCACCAACAGCATAAATTATTTTATCAACCACAACAACTCCTAAACTTCGTTTCTTTTCTGGAAGGGGAGGTAACTGGGTTGCTTGGTTGGTAAAAGGATTGAAGCTTTCAAAAGATGACAAGATTTCACGACTAGAGGACTCGCCACCTGTTGAAAATGTAAAGGGTGCACATAAAAATTTGAAAGATTTATTTTTTATGGTAACATAAATATTTCTTGTTTCTCCACCCTAAACTTTGCTTCAAAATTAAAAATTTCCATTAGGAAAAGGGGCCTTAAATTTTAAGTTGTGCATAGGAAAATCTCTAATGTTGCGTGAAATACTTCAAATTTCATAAATTAATATACAGCGCTTAAGATTTTATTTTTTTTTACTCTGCGAAATTTTTGTGATAGTTTGTACGAGAATTATATGTAACTCCTTTATAAAATCATCATCATCATCATGCCCCTTAGCCCTTGGACGGTTGGGGTGCCACAGATGACATGTGAGCTATCCTCCTCCATTCATCTCTGTCTTCTGCACTACCCACAGCATCGCCCAGTGTTAGTCCTGTCCACTCTTTGATGTTTTCCTCCCATCTTTTTCTTTGTCTTTCTCTTCTTCTCCCTCCTCTTGTGGTGCCCTGCAATATTTCTTTGGCAAGCCCTTGCTTCCTTGTTACATGGCCGTACCATTGTAGTTTGCGTTTTTTCACAGTCACCAGTAGGTCATCGTACTCCAATATTGCCTGGCGAACCCATTTTTTCACTGTATCATTGGAGATATGGTCCCTATAGACTGGACAACAAAAAAACTATTTTGTCTGCAACTGGACATCTATTTTGTGATTGATACTAAATCCAATATGCTGATTCCCAAATCTGAAGTCAGATATTGTGTAGCAGATCAGGATTTTAAATTTTGCAGCTTCATGTTAAAATTAACTTTTTTGATTATGCAAACAAATTACAGAGGTAATATTTGCTTATATACCTGTGTAAGAGTAGTCATTACATTAAACAAATGTTTTTCTTTTATATCTTGAAATTAAAATAAAAATGTAACCAATTACCAATAAGAAATTTTATGCTTGGTTTCTTAAGTTTTAAAAAAAAAAAGCCATAGAAAGTCTTAATAAAAACATGCCAAAATCTATTAAACAATACAAGAAAATTTAAGAAAAAAGGATCTAATCAATATAGTTTTTAAATCTAATACAAATATATGTATGTTACTCAGATAAAAGCATAGATTTCAAAATTTTGTCTCCAGTTTAAATTTAATAGTGTTCAAAAGTGAGGGGCTGCTGTTGCCTGCTGAAGAAATCAGTACTAATTACCCCTCATGTATAAATTTCAGTGACTTTGATACCTTGTTTCCAAGGTCAAGACATGTTGTTGAAATCTCTCTCCATGCTCATCGCTTTCATCAACCAATTTTGGTGGTAAAAAATCCAGATGACAAAGTAAGAAATGCATTTTAGAGACATTAGGAGCCAAGTTGCTTTAGGCTGTTAGCATAGTTCAAAGCTTGGTGATTCACAAGACTGTTTTGGACTACCAAAGTAAATGCATCCCAAGCGGCAAGGGGGTTCAGCTTAGTATCACGCATCAATTTGCAAACTTCTGACCCAATAAAGATGCCAGCTTTCAGCTAAACATCAGTTTGTTGCTCTGAATTACTCTTTCAAATTCTGAGAACCTTGTTCATTAAGATCCATGGCTACTACAAAATTTTTCATGAGACCCAATTTAATGTAAAATGGTGGTAAGTAAACTTTCTAAATGATTTGTGTTAAAAGTTGTGCCAACCAAAAATGTGCTCAGTTCTAGGAAGCCACTGTTTCACCTTGTAATGGTTGCTGTCATCAGGACTGTGACACAAGCAAAAAAAGCACAGATGTTTTATGTATCCCACCACAAAATCATTCTGCTTTGTCAAGACTCTTTCTAAATGTTCTTTATAGTTTTTATTTGGAATGTCTGCCAGTTTAAAAAAGAATTTTTGTTGATCTCAGAGACAATAGAGCTACTGGTACCAACTGAAATGAGCTCTTGAAATCTTTAGCAATGGTAAAAATTTATATTTTCCATCAAATAATGAGATTTAAATTTGAAAATAAGCCTCAAACACCATTATTCATAAAGAAATCGAATTTTTAATCACCCTCACATTATTAACACTTCTTACTTATATTTAAATAAAATCTAACTCATGGCTATTTAAGGAACATATAGTATCCTTAAAAAACTATACAATTTATTAGGTGTTAAGTATCAGTAAAAATGTAAACTTTGTTTCTGAATATTTTCTGTTGCTCCTTTTTTTGTGTCAAGTACAAAGTATTATTTTGGGTCACACAGTATATTACTAAAATACCTTTACTAACTATTCTGGGTGGTACTTGAAATAATTCTTTTACATACAGGATCATTTAACTTTTTCTGAAAGCATCATTAACTTGGCAGGATAAAATTTAAATTTACCAACAGAGTAGAGCATATCAGCAGCAGAGAAAAATGCACGTGGCTGAGATCTTACAACAGCTTCATTGTAGGCAAAGTTCAGTAGGTCAGGATGAAAAGAACTGGCTTGAAAAGCTCGTGCTTGCTGTAATAGCAACATTTTAAAAATAAAAACATTAAAAAATTTATTTATAGTTCAGTTGATTTTCTTTTAAACATTTGGCTATACTGGAGGCCAATGTTTTAAGCTCCTTGACACTGAACCTTTAGCTGATATATTGCCAGGAGACAAGTGAAGTGGTGGTTTATGATCCAAGAATTTTGGTCCATAGCACTAAATATAGAGACATTACTTAGTTGCATAAGATTAGGGAATTTAATTTTAGTGACACTCACCTATTTCACTAGTTTATGTTATATCTGGTTATAATGGGGCTTTTTTTAGTCAGAAAAGTCAAAATTACTTTTTTTAAATGCATGACCATCAAACCTAAAGTAAATTGCCTTTAAGTTTTATTTATACTTGATAATTTAACCAAATGTTTAAAAAAATTTGTGTCATAATTCATTTTTTTTAATAATACACAACTAATATTATAAGCTTGCAGGAACTGCTTTTGTGTATAAAAGCTGTACAGCAGTGTTTCTTAAACATTAAATAAAAAATTGATAGTAATAGTAAACCTATTGATTTGATTTTATTACACATCTTTGCAGGGAATCATTATACCTTTTTAGTCACATTTGTGAAAAGGATTTACACAAACTTACCTGCAGATAATTACGACAGTCTTCATTGGTGACAAAGAGTTTATCTTTGCTCACTTCTTTGATTAAAAAGTCCCACTGCACTAACGGAAGCCTTACATGCTCCATCAATAATGAAACATCATCTTTGCTGCGTTCTGGATCAAATGCCACCCACCTCATCACAGCAGCATAAACCTACAATATTATGTTGGTTTTTTTTTAAATTTAGATGTATGCCTAAAGGAAATCAATTAAAATGTAAAGTTGCCAAGGTTCATGATAAAAAAAAAAAATTTGTATCTATTAGATTTACAACAAAATACAATAATCTTCTTTTTAATGATTGTCACACCTATTAGAACATATCAATATGACATTCCCTATTTTGAGTGTTTTGTACTAAAATATTTCGGAGCACTGGATTTTAATGAAAGTTTATTTAGTCTATTCCTTAAGAATGCTGTTGTACAGTTAAGTGTTGCGGAGTGTAAAATGCATAAACAAAAATGAGATGGACTATAAAGAGCATGAAAAAAGTTACATTTAAATAACATTATAGTTCAATAGCTTAAGTTTCAATGTCACAAACCTCTTCTTCTTTAGCCACTTTGAGACTGTCTCTGGAGATAAGTCCAATTACCTGTTTGATAATTATAAAACCCAATTGATTATTATAATACAAATTAATTAATTATATTCATCATTTATGAAAAGAATTTATAACATAAAATTATTTGTAAGTGCTCAAAAATTAATTAGGTTGAGTTCATTCTTTAAAGCTTTTATTAATTTTTAAGTTATAATAAGTCAAATATATTCTTAGCTCATTCTCATGTGCCATAATAACAAATGGTGAGCCGGATGTAATTTTTTTCTCAAGGGATAGTTTAAAATAAAACATCCAGCAGAATGAAAGAATGACAGGATGGCCGCCATATGAGAACAGGTTAGTAGGGTTCTGTGATTAAACCTGTATTGTTTGTAACCCTTCAAATAGATTTAACCTAAAGATTTCACATATGTTCATCGCTATAAACTTTTGTATCCATGTACATATAAAAGCCTACATTTTGAAAGCAGTGACCTGATAAAAAAATAATAAAAATTAAATGTTTTGTTTTATTGTTTTTTAACAATCTATCTTACATAGAGTAATAAAAATAATTCCCTGGCCAGAAAGACATGAGACAAGAATGGTGAAAAAGAAATATCTCACCAGTTGGAGAAACAATACAAATTTATTTATCACCAAAAAAAAAAGCTATGAGATCATGTAGATTAAAAGATACAAAAACATAATGCCAAACATAATTAATTCACATACAAACTTTTATTTTATTCTGTTTAGTACAACTAAGAATAAGAGTGTCTAGGATAGGGTGACCAAATCATGAACTGGAAAAAATGGGACACACCCAAAGAGGGCTTGTGGGGATGCCCCCCAGCTAAAGAGGGGTCCGAGGGGCCTCCCCCTGAAACTTTTTATTGAAATACGCTCATTTTAACTATTTTGAGACCTAGAAATCTTTTTAAATTTACCTTCACTTTTGTAATTTAATTTAAACTCTGAGACTTATCCTTAACGAAAACAATAATTTTGCAGTGAATACTTATTTATTTATACATATTTTACAACATAATATGATCTATGGCAGGGACACTGTCGTTTACGCAGCATCGGCAGAGTGGTGAAATGGGGAACAGTGCAGCCATCACGCAAGCCCACATCACTACTGGCACTGGCTACACAGTTAGACAAAATATTATTTGAAGTCATATTATGCATAAGGAAGTTTTAGTGATTTGAAAATGTGTTTGGTTTTAAAAATGGGACATTTAGGCGCCCCAAAAGACTTTTTCGAGACACCGGGTACGAACGTGAAAAATCTGGACAATCCCATTTTTAAGGGATGTTTGGTCACCCTAGTCTAGGAAGACATATTTATTTATATGGTGCTTACCTTAAAGCTCTAAGCGCTTTACAATTATTAAAAACATTTAAACTAAATAAAATAAAAATTAGACATTAGGATAGTAACTACTATACTATAGAAACAATTAAAATGGCTATAAAACGAGGACACTTTGGCACGTTTTGGCCTATATTACAGGATTAACCCGAGACAGACATATCACAAACTAAGCCCTGCTTGTGCCTTCATATTAACCAGCTCCACATAGTTCTAAGTAAAAAAAATATGTGCATTAATTTTCCTCTCCTTACAAGTTAATTTGGCAATCTGTGATATTTAATATTTGTGCTTACCTCCTCAACTTCCAGCTTGAGAAACTCTTCATGCTGAGAAACCTCAAAAAAATTCTCCTCACAAAACTTGTCTGCTATCTCCTTCAAATCAAAACAACCAATCACATGAGCAAAATCTCTAATCCCCAAACAATTAGATGGATGCAGGTGCTCAACTAGAAATGAACAGCAAAGTTTCTCAACTGCCGAGATCTGCATCATAGCTGCTGTTTGCATAACTGACTGAACAGTATCCTCACTAAGATCCAAATGGGTAGTGTAAGCAAACTGTACAATAGCTTGAACAGCTGGAAGGCTTAAATCCTGAATTCTTATTTGAAACCTGTGACTTTCATCAAGCTGTGAGCAAAACATTGCTTTAAAATATGGGCTCAGTGCAGCCAAGATTACACGGTGAGCTGGTATTACAACACCCTCAACAGATAAGTTGACATCACATAATTCCTTATCAATCCACAATTGGTTTATTTCAGATAGCAAGCTCTTAGAAAAGTCTTCTTTTTCCATCATGACAGTTACATGTATTTTATCTATAATTTTGACTTTTCTCTTCCCTCATTAAATTCCAATAAACAAGGCATGCAGTTCACCTAGGAATATACAATAGTTTTGTTTTAATATAAATAAATTAATAACTAAATAAGAAAACTTTTTACTTGACTAACTATGATTACTATATGTTAAGTTGTAATTACTTGAAGATAAAGATTAAATATGATGAGAATATATAGTTCACCATATTTTAAATATGTTAAAAAAAATTTCCAAGAAAAACATCCCAAAACATAATCAGGCTATTAGGATAGAAGGGCTTTGGAGCAAGCAGTTTTTGGAGTGCCCCTATGACTCAATTCAAGGTAATTCATTTTTTAGCCCCAGGTCTGTACTGGGCTCAAGGTATTTTTTTGATGGCTGTGGGCTGGTTCGGGGTTTTTGGTGGAGATAGTAGAGATTATTGGGGGAGAGTAAAAATATGAATACTTTCATATTTCTTACTTTTTAATTCTAAGAAAAACCTTTATTCTTTCTATCCACAATATATGAAAAGCTTATTAATGGGAAATTTATCATAGTCATGAAAGATTACTGACTGCAATGCTAGCACATTACATCTATCTCTACATATTTTTTTTATTTAAAAAAAAAAGGGGGGGGGGGGGGGGTAGCGGTCGTCATAGGTTACAGGTACATTTGGCTCAGGCCTTACATACCCTGTAATTGTCCTGTATTTTCTTTTCATGCCTAAAAATATCTTATTCCACTATTTATTCATCTCACATACAAAAAGGCCTAAAATTTACATGTGGAATTGTCCATAAATAATTGCGGCTCTGATCTTAACAATGGGTACAAGGCAATAAAATAAAGTCAATATTGTCACTAAGGGATTGAGGTTTTATGGCTGATTTTTGCACTTGGGAAATACATTAAATGTCTTGTGTCTAAACTGTTCTAGTTTAAAAATATTGTCTTGTTAGAAATATTTATACATGTGTTGAAAATGTATAGGTACAATCTAATCATTACACATTTCTACTTATTTTGATAAATAAAAACATATTATCTTATCTAAGTCTGTCTAAGATAGACAGGGCAAAATAATTTTTATCAAACTGAGATTGAAACCGGGACACAAATTCAACTTGGTTGGGACAAGATTGCTAAACAAGAATGAACCTGGTTAAACTGGGATGTATGTTAAGCCAAGGTAAGGAAGGTACAGATTAGGGCAGAGGAAGTAGTGGTAAGGGGTAAGATGACGGATAGCGAATGTAGAGAGAATGTAGAGAGGTGAGGTGGAAGAGGGTTATTGTTAGTGAGGTGAGAGAGATTTGGTTAGATTGGGGAGATCTCCCAAACAACATACCTAAAAAAAATAAACATTTTATTTTTTACAAATTTTCCATGCCGTGACAAAAAAAAGCCATAATAAAAAATTCAGTTATGACAAAATTTTTGAATCAATAGCCTTAGAAAATATCTCGGTACTTCAATATTTCTTTGCCACAATTTTTATAGGTGAGCACTATGGGTGAGCCTGGTACTGACCCGGATACCCAGAAATGCAGAGAGTTAGCAAACCCGGAACATACCAGACCTTGGCTAAAAACCAAACAAGGGTCAGGGTGTCTTAACAAATATGATTAATTTGGTAGATGTCAGCAGCTAAATATTTTGGCAGTTTAGTTTCATTTTTTATAAAGTATGTTATATATGTATAAATTTAAAGTTTTTTTTTTTTTTTTTTTTTTTTTTTTGTTATCAAAATTTTTTAATTTAAAGTTTTTTTTTTTTTTTTTTTTTTTTCATTGTTATCAAAATTTTCTGGGGATGTACATACTGAGCCCCATTTACAGGCCCACCATTCGATGCCCTTGTTTCGGCTACCTTCTAGCCCCCATCAAAATTACAGTGCAGACACCTTTTTATCTACAAAATAGCACTGCCACCTTCTTAACACCTGTTTTTCACTTTCTAGGGTTGCAAAAATTGGCATATGTTATCAAGGGGTCGCAGCACTAAAAAGGTTGAGAGGTATTGAGTTAGTATTATATTATTAGTGTTATGAAGCCATCAGCCGCCAATTTTGATCCATTTGTGATAGCTACTGGTTCTATACATGCACTTTTCTCTCCTCCTCATTGGGAGTAACATATTTCTCATTTACATTCTATAGACAAGAAATAGATAATTCATGATTATAAAACATATCAGGCATTGCCTTAACCCACGAACTGTCGTCGGCCGATCTCATCGGCCAATCTTCCCTTCCCAAACTGTGTCGGCTGATAAAAATGGCAGATAAAAATTGCGTTGAAAGAATAAGTTCCAGTACAATATTTTAAACCAAATATAACTACTTACTATTATTAATAAATGAACTTCCGTTTTTCGCTCTTCTGTGTCCTTTTTTTAAATTTTGGAGTTATTTTTTTACAACGATTTTTATCAAGCAAATTTGTGTAACTAGATTTTCGTGAAATGGATGAGGCCATAGCTGGACTAATCTGGCTTGCAAAATAAATCAGTTAGGAATCTTTTTGATAACTTTTTAGTTAATGACTTAAGTGATTCGGAAGATGATTTTCCGATCACACACAAAGACAATGATAATTCTGATTATTTTTCTAGTGGGTCAGAAATCGAAAGTTCGGACAATCTAAGCCTAGAGCGTGTAGGCGTTGTCCCAACATGTACAGATTCTATTCTTTTTATAGACACTACGTCAACAGTTGCCTTGTGTTTATTTGCTAGTGTCCCTGTAGTGTAGACTGTCAAAGCACATCACACTGAAAGTATGCTCCCCATCCAATACTCACTATGCCTATGTATTATACTCAGTAGATAGGAACAACAGGACTCGTTCAAAGCTATGTTGCTGTTGATTGTGTACCAACAAAAAATAACTGGATGTTGTTCTATAATGTTTATTTATTTATATTTCATTTTATGATTATTATGAATTAAATATTTATATACCAGCTTTTAAAATTGTATCTGTTTCTTGCTATTTAGTAATGTTTATATTGTTTATGTCGTGCTTTGATACTTAAAAGAATTTATAGGTATCAGAAGAATTTTTTTTTAATCTATTAATAACTAAAACATATACAAATCATACATTTTCTGAAAGATAAATAAAAATGATATCATACAATATAAACATTATAATAATATGCCTTCAAAAATATTGTAGTTTGAGGAACTTGAAAAGAAAAATTGTCATTATTTTCTTTATTCTTGGTCACTCCAAGATCAACAAGGTGAGCGAGTATAAAATATCATTAAAAAATAGCCAGTATGATTCCCCACTCAGTCTAATTTCAATAAATGTATACTTTATGGGGTCTAGCTATAGTATTTTCATGTGAAAAATCACAAAAAGCTCTAAATTGCCAGACAGTACTCAGTTGTCAGTACAATGATAAATACAGTAACAATGGTGATGGTCAGTTCCTGGGTTAAAGTTAAATTAGTTAAATTACCTGGACTTGGACAGGACGTAAAAAAAAAAGAGGTAGGGACTATGACTATCCAATTATACTATTAATATGAATTCTGAATAGGGTTCTATTGTCAATAATATAAGAGGCATCAATAATTATAAGCTAGGCCTAGGCCTAGCTAGGGAGGGGCAGGGGATACCACTGCCACTACTAATAATAATACTAATACTAATACCAGGCGCCAAGCCAACCTTTTTTTTTTTTAGAGCTAAGGCTAGCATTATTTAATATATAAATTTTAAATTAGAATTTTAAACATTGCTTCAGTTTTAATACATTTTGTGAAAATTAATTTAGTACAATATAGAATTGTTAGTTGATAGATACGTATTGATGGTTTGCTCAGTCATGTTTATCCAGCTCAATCTTCGAATGTCGCCATTTTGTCCAAAGTCACATGACTGGGGTGGCAATATTTCTAATCTTCATATCCCAAATGCGCGTCATTGACGTGGCATGTGCAACGAAATTATCGCCACGTCCGCCATTTTGTTTTGTTCAGGTATTCAATCCCACAATTTTCGTGCTTGGTTTGTTTATTCGTCACTGTCGGGTTCATTTGTAATTTGCCAGGATACCTGGATACAAAGAGTATATATATTTGAAGCTATTGTACTGTTTTAAGCTTTAAGTTTTTTAGAAACGTTCACCATTTCTGTGTTGCCTTAAAAAATTAGTATGTCAACGGACTGAGACTGTGTTACATAGTTGTTTTACATGAAGTTTGAAGTAAAAGAGCCGACTAACTAGTTACAAGAAGCGGCCTAGTTAATACTTAATTTACTGAACACTGTGTGATTGCATTTAATAGCTTATAAATATTGTCACTAATACTACTACTGTTTTTTTTATAGGTTACTTCTTTATTAAATTTTGAAGTAAACACGGTAGCCCTAAATATTCCTATCTAAAATTAAAATAACCTGTTATCGATAACTTGATCGTGGCTCATAATAGTAGTAAGCGGCCCTAAACATTTGATGGCAGTAATAATCATAAATTAGGTAACTGCTGGGTGTATTTTGGATGTGAGTGTGGTTTACTTTGAAAGTGAAGGTGGATCTTTAAAGGCAAAGATCTGGTCATACTGATAACTGAAGCCAAGTCTTTATTAATTAATGATAATGACTGGTGGGCTGGTCAAATCTATCAATCAAAGATACAGATAAAAGTCTGGTGGGACAAAGCACTCTATTGCTGGTTGGTGTGAATAAATTTAGTAAAATTCATGGAAGGCCTTATATTTATGTAATACTGTAGGCTAGGCCTATACTTGGGCCTTTTTATAGTACTTAAAAATTTACACACCAGCCATTGTTGACTAGGGGTGTGCCGGAATCCGGTTCCACCGGATTTTGCACTATCCGGTGAAATCCGGTTCCGCCGGATTTACATGTATCCGGAATATACCGGATTTTGGAATTTGCCCGATTTTGTGACTCACCGGATCATAATCTGAAATAAAAGTAATTCTCTTTCCCGAATTCCACACGATCACGATACATTAATCGATTGTTTCGAGCGTTGAGCTTGTTTAATATTCCGATAGTAGGGACTATGATAAGAAAATTTAATCTTTTTGT